GCACAGGGCTTCCCCGGGCCAGACTCCGGGGTGCATCCGGAGTGACCGAGGGCTGAGGCTGCGGCGCCTGGACCTCTGGGGGTTGCTGTTGGTATGGGCGAGATTCTGGGTGTGACGAACGAAGCTCGAGGCCCGTCCGGCCTGGAAATACCACGACACCACCCCGTCCGCCCGTGTGCCCGGCACCCCAGTCCGGTTCGCCTCCTCGCAGAGACGGGGAGACGGTGACTGTAAGCCCCGCTTGCCGGGAAGCTGAGGCAGGAGGATCACAATTTCAAGTCCAGCCTGGGCAATTTAGGGACCCTCTGCCTCAAAAACTGTAAAGACAAAAAAAGTCCTGAGAATGTAGCTCAGTAGAAACCCCCCACAAGGAGAGGGAGGGAGGGAGAGAGGAGAGAAAGGGACGTTTCAAGGGAACAAAGGAGTCGGTGTGTGGAGCCCTTGCCTTTCCTCAGAGCTGCTGCTTTCCAGGGCCTACCTGGCCTTGGGCCTGATCTCACTTCAGGTCAGCTGGCCCTGCAGCAATGTATATCTTTGGCCTCTTCAGACTTCAAACATCTAAGCTTATCTCCCCTAAAACTAGACCCCTCCTTAAAGAAAAGCGGCCACCCGGACTTTTTCCTTCCAGTACCAAGCATTCTGCCCTCCTTTATTCTTCATACTGCTGTCATTTCATGCTAAATAACTGATAAAATCTTTAGGGTAAAGTCCACACTCATAAACCAAAATTTGTATAAAGAATGATGGCCTTATTCCCACTACATGGTACCACATCTCTAACCCCAGTTCCTTAGGCTGCTGAGGCAGGAGGTTTGCAACTGTGAGGCCAGCCTGGGCAACTCAGTAAGATCCTGTCTCAAAAAAATTTTAAAGGGCTCAGTCCACCAAAACATACACAATCATAAAATACATATAAAAGATATACCCCCTTAATCACGTCTTTCCATTTCCTTTGGGTTTTTAAATTTTGGGTGTTTGTTTTTGCTTTTGTGCTGAGGATCTGCTAGATGTTCTCTGTCACCGAGTGACACCCCGAGCTCCCATTGTAACCATTTTCAGGTGTGCAGTTGGATAGTATTAAATATATTCACGATGTTGTAAATCTTCAGAAACTATTCATCTAAAAAAACTGAAACTAAACAGGGCATGGTGGCACAATCCTGCAACTTAGGGAGGCTGAGGCAGGAGCATCGAAGTGGGTGAGGACAGTTCCAGCAACTTAGACCCTGTCTCAAAATAAAAAATAAAAAGGGCTTCAGTGGGAAGGCCCTGGGTTCAATCTCAATACCACCAGACACAAACCTGTGTTCCCATTAAACAAAAACACTGCGTTCCCCCTTCACTCAGTAGCCATAGTTCTGCTTTGCTTAGAATTCTATCCTCAGGTTCATCCTGAAGCAAGGGCCAGGATTTCTTTCTATTAAGCCTGAGTAATGTTCCCTTGGCTGTGTATACCACATTTTCCTTTTTACCTATCACTGGATATTTGAGACCCTATTTTCAATTCTTTTGGATATATATGTATCCCGAGGTAGAATTGTCAGACTGTGTGGTATTTCTGTTTGTGTTTTGTGGTGTTGAGAATTGAACACAGGTCCTCCTGAATGCTAAGCAGGCGCCACACCCCTGCGGTGTTCCCCCAGCCCATATTTTCTACTTTCTTGAGACACTATTTGCTGTTGTTTGACCTGTGAGGAGGATCTGGGAGCAAGAGAAACTTGAGTCAACAGAATGTGGAGGGTATGCAGGTTGGATCTGATTCACAGAAGGAAGTTTGGGCTTGTGTAGAGACATCAGTTCAGAGCAGAGTGAAGAAGACAGGTTGTTTAGTCCGCAGCCACACTGGACTCTCAATCAAAAAGTGAGTTCAGGGCCAGCATGGACTATATAGTGAAACTCTGTCTCAAAACAAAACAAGCAAGCCTGTATGGCCCCAAGGCTCATAAAGTGATACACCTTTTTTTTTTTTCTTTTTCATTCACACTATAAAATGCTATGGCACTGAGCTCAGTCCCAACCTGGATACACTCTTAAAATTCTGCTTGCGCAAGACTCCTCCTGCCAAGCAGTGGTAACAATGCCTGAGTGGAACGTCCTTTGGGTTGGACATGGTAAACCACTTTCTGCCCGGCTCGCCGTGTTCTAAATTCCCTCCCACCTCTTATCATTTTCCCCATTAAAACACTGACTGCCTTCCTGTGTTCCCAAGGCAAGAAAAGAGGGGCTTTGAAATGATTTTATTTTATTTCGAGACAGGGTCACAACTATGTAGCTCAGGCTGGCCTTGAACTCATGGTGATCCTCCTGCCTCAGCCTCCTGAGTGCTGGGAATAATAATAGTAAAAATGTCAAACCTCACTGAATCATGACATCACCTAAATAGGAAAGTTTGTAAATAAGTTAGGCCAGTTTAATCTTCGGACCTTTCAGAGGTTGAGAGATAGACAGTACTTTTGCTTCTTGAGATTACTATCTTTTATGGAAGTAATTAATTAACTTATTTATTGGTTTTTTGAGACAGGATCTTGTTCTGCAGTTGAGGCTGGTTTTGAACTCACTATGTAGCCCAGGCTGGCCTTGAACTCTTGACTATTCTCTTGCCTCAGCCTCCCCAGTGCTGGGATTACAGGCTTGTGCCACCCTGCCTGGCTGTTACTACATTTTTAACAAAGAGGATGGCAGGATCATCACTACTGCATATGACACACATGTATATTTCCAGATTCAAAAAACAATACACACACGGTGGCCTGCCTTGCAAGCACAAGGACCCAAGTTCAATCCCCGGTACCAAAACACACAAACACACACACACAAAAGAAATATTAACAGAAATGGATGCAATAAACAAAATTGTGCTATTTATAAGATAAGGCTATGTTAAAAAAAACTGTCAAATATCATTTCAAAGCGTACTCCAGGTAACATGGTGTGACAGACAGCGAGACAGAAATGTAAAATTCAGAGCTGGACAGTGGCTAGCATCTTTTTTCAGCCCCGTTAGTTTTCTCTGTGCCCGTCTCTGTAACTTTATTTGGAGATAATATCACAACTCTAGGTCCCTGTCCCTCTCTAATGTGACGACTGCCCCATCAGAATTGGAGGATGTCCCAGTCACTCTGTGAGGTCTCGGCGGATGCTCATGGAGGAGACGGACGCAGGAGCCCCGGGTTCCTATAACACCACACAGTCTAGAACACGTCCCTGTGCTCATCAGCTTTTGGTCCCTGAGACCAAATACCTGAAGTTCAGTCGGGTCAGTGTCTCCAAAGCAGACGTGAAACGGAGGAGGGGCGGGCGGAGGGAAGATGCAGGCGCAGCCGGAGAGAGGCGTCTGGGGGTCAGAACCTGCTCTCCCAGGCCGCACCCCAGTGAGCGCTTCCAACCTCCCGGCCCCACACTCTGCTGTGAACTCATCCATGGACTCATCTACTGGGTTAGGGCCCCGATGCGAATTTATCGGTGGGTCAATCTATCGGGTTAGAGCCCCAGTATAGTCACCAAAGCCCCACTTCTGAACAGGAGAACCTTTTAGGGATGTTTTCGTTCCCAACCCTAGCGGTCACCTCTACTGCCCACTCTTCATGTTTTCTGCAGATTCTTGTTAGTATTAATGTGTGTGCGTGCACGGGGAAACTCAGGGCCAGGGGTGAGCACGCATTTACCACAGGGCTATACCCCGTCACCTCACTAGCTTTAATTTGAGAGGGAGAGCGTCTGGGGTTCTCCTGTGCTAGCCATGACTGTCCCCTGATGAAGGTGTGCAGAAGTGGAGAAAAGAAAGGGTGACGATGACATGCTTATCAAACAAGGAAGTCACAGCTGTGTGCCCTCCGTCCCTGGAAGCCGAGGCCTGGCTGCTTTGGCTTCACACTTAGCCTGCTTGGCAGGGCCCGAGGCTGCTCACAGAGAGCCAGCTGAAGAAGGCCTGTAGGGAAAAAGGCAAATAAAGCACGTGCTACTTGCATAACCCCTCTAACTGCATTTCTACGCTTGCTGTTGGCACAAACAAATGCAGCCCAAAAAGTTAAGGATTAGAAGGGATAAGGATTTTTTAAAATGTTTTGATTTCAGTGTCACCCAAGAATAATCGGAATGAACAATCTCTGAAACGTTAAAATCTTCCAAGGTTGAAAGCTAGAGGCATACTTGGGCTCCAGGGGGCAGCTGGCCAAAGGTCCCAGACCCTGGGGAGCCGCACATTAAAATACACAACCCACAAAGTGTGGCCGCCACAGAGCAAACTCGAGCAAACAGTGAAAATACAGTGTGCATGTGTGTGTGT